CTATCCCCATATGATATTATATAGCTTCTTCTCCCACCTAGCTATGAGAATGGCTGAGCAAGTGGGGAAGTTCAAAGAGATAGGTTACTGAGCTTATCACCAGGGAAAGCAGATCTTCTAGAATACAGCCATTGCACATTTGCAATTTGTGCAAAACGTGGCTCACAAATATTTGCTTTATTGTTCTAACCTTCCTGCAAAGGCCATGACTTCAGTGGGGATCAAGAGGATCTCAGCAATACTCTTAGTGGTAGGTTTGCTAAACTATTTCAAGCCACATGTTTCTGAAACGTTATTCGAATGTATAAACCAAGCATAATTGTCATGTTGCGGCAAAATACTAGATGAGTAAATGAGAGGTATCATCTAGGTTGAATGAATCGTCCCTTCATTGGATAGAAGGAACAGATGATGAAATGACTGCTCAAGGATTCCCCTTAGCCTTATGATTTTGAGAATTATAAAGGCCTTGTTTTGACAGTGACTCCCAAACTAGTTTCAGTTTCCCACCCACCAAGGCCATCCATAGTTGAAGGTTTCCTTCCTCCATCCATCCATTAAATAATAAGCCAGAAGGGAATCTGGTGGTAAGAGCAAATTCCAATGAGACTTATAATTATAAAGCAATAAGGCCATGCACCCAGTGCAATTAAGCACATACACAGCTCCTTGTGGCTTTGGAAATGCTTCCCCCCCTCTCTTCTCATTGCCCCACCAAGCTGCAAAATAAATTATCATGCAAACTTAAGAGTCTGAGCTATTGAAACAATTAAACAAAAATTAAATCTAATTCATTTATACTCTCTGCACAAAGTGGATAATGTGCGGGTGGTGTTTTTTCTCTCCTCCTCTCTCCTCCTCTCCTCTCCTTGCCTTGGCATTACCTAGGACTATTATTGGAGATTAATCACAGGGAAAGGCAATGAACGTGATCTATCGCTCTTTAAAAGTGCACTGTAGTGATTATATAAAAATCTATTAAGAGGACAGAAAATTTAAGAGCAATGCTGTTTTCAAAGGGAGAATCGGGCTCAGGCTTTGATGCAAGAGGAGATGCAGGGAAGTAGAGGAAGGGAAGGAATCAATTCTTTGAACAGATTCAAGTGAAGACCCACAGAGCGCAAAGTTTTAGTAAGCCTGGCTTATCAGCCAGAGGTCACCCCATAAGAAAGCCATCCCACTGTCTGCAATCTTTCCAATCCTGTATATCAGCAAAAACTGCAAGCAAGAAGCTCACTGACAGATTTATAGATGTAGCAGCCCAATAGAAGTGAACTTTCAAACACAAGAGGACTCCGTGGCTTGGTATTCTCCCTGGCAATGATTTGCTGTGTAAGTCGCTTGCCTCCCCTACCTTTATTTCAACACCTGCCAAATAGTGAAAACGCCTATCCCAAACTCTATGCATATTATGCCAAACTCTATAAAACCCATCCAGTGTCAAGATTCACTAATCTCTTACCAAGCATCTACAACAACTTCAGATTTAAGGTTGATTAGCCAAGGTTGATTAGTGTTAAAGCTTAAAATTACATTATAAAACAACATTTCAAATTAATAATGTATTAACAAGTAGTCGGCTAAAAAACAACGAAAGCAAGAGACCTTCCTACCTCTTCCTGGAGGAGGGGGCAGGAGGCAAAATGGAACTGATTTGTCTGCAGTAAGAGGGTGCTCAGAACTGAAGAAGCTGATAAGCATATAGCAATGCTGGAAATAAAGCATGTCTAGAATGCAGAAGGCTTTCTGATTAGAAAGGTCTGGATAAGCAAGGTTTTACTGTAAACAGTTTTGAAAGTTTAATAATCTCTTTGCAAATGGGATGCAACATTTCCATTTCAGAATTTGCGGAGGGGGAAAAAAATCTGATGAATATTTGAATTGTTTCAAATATTTGTTTTATGGTGATATTTATACTGTATTATTAGGAAACGCTGACAGTACATGTGCATGGCCGTATCTGAGGTAATATGAAATGACATGGAGGTCTTACATTAAAGGACTGTGTGTGAGAGAGAGAGACCCCAAACTGCATGCATTCCTCTTGTGAGCACCCAAATGTGACAGTGATACATAGGTATTGACACTGAGCCACAAAGGCAAAATGCACAAGTCCATCTTCCCTGTTCTGTGACTGAAATCTGCCCCACACACAGCGAGTATAGAGAGTTGAATGCTGGGCAAAATCATCATTTACGGTATTTTCTATTTCCCTGCAACAGCTGCAGAGTTCTGAACTACTGACCATTTAAAGAATTGTCCTCTAACTCCAGGAAGCTCTCACATATGATTTGTGGCATAGAATTCCAGGCAAATGTAGTTAGAATACGAGTTAAAGACAGCCCTAACTGAATTATTTTCTCATATGTGCTAGAGAAATTGTATATGTAGCATATCTTGACAAGAAGAAGGATGGAATGGAGAAATGGAGAAGGGAAGCTACTCTCAACTGTGAAAGTTCAGAGAAAAAGCCTGGAACCAGAATGAGAAACAAGCTGTAGTCAAGCCCTGGTTCTCAGTGATGTCTGGCCAATGTGAAAGTGACCAAAGGACTCCTACCAAGGTTAAGCATGAACTTATTTCAGAGGTAAGAGGGTTTCTGCCAGTAGTTCTGAGCCAAGCATGCAGGTGAAGGAACCTGCGGAGAGCACAGGAGGATCACTGTACCTTTATGGCTTATCTAGAACTGCACTGCAGGTGAATAATAACAGGAAATAGAGAAACACTAAGGCACAAACCCATTATGAAGCCCAGTTTGCAAGTTCTTCTGCACGCATGAGATGCTACGGAGCTAGCTAGACTGAGATTAGGCAAAATTCCTTTTTTGTATTATTTTTTAATCTTCTCCTTAAGTAGAAAAAGAGGGCCAAGGAGCTACACATTTGAATCACCTTAATGACCGTTTCCCTTTACCTTGGATATTGAACCTGGTGATAGGACAAAGTCACAGGGACATCAGAAAAAAGGAAGGCAGCACAGACATTCACAAGAGCAAGTGGTCATTATACACAGAGAAACTGTCAGCCCTAAAAAAAAAAGGGCATTTAAGCAAACCATCCTTATCTGTGAATCAGAATTAAGGATGATGTTTGGCCTTGGGTGTAGCAGAGGGGTATCTCACAAAGTGGCAAAAGGATACAACAGGAGAGGAGAGGAGAGCAGACCAGAGATTTTCAAGGAGATGGTCTACAGCAGACATCCCCAAACTTGGCCCTCCAGATGTTTTGGGACTACAACTTCCATCACCCCTAACTAACAGGACCAGTGGTGAGGGATGATGAGAATTGTAGTCCCAAAACATCTGGAGGGCCGAATTCAGGGATGCCTGGTCTACAGTTTCTTATCCTAGTTGAGAAACAGGAAAAGTCACCAGGTATTCTTTCAGAGACTCATTCCCCACAATAAAGCACAATTCTGCTAGGGAGACAGTCCTCAGCTTACATCACCTAAACTGAAGAAGTCTATTCCCTCCACAGGGTCACGGAATAAAGACCTTAATTAATCACCATCAGTTTTTCTATCTCTTGAATAATACCCCGACTCCCTTCAAATTCCTTGCCATGCTGTCCTGATTGGCTCTTTTAAGGAACAAGGCAGCTGGTACAGCCAGGCCCTGGAGGACTTACCCAGCTCCGTTTAAAGCCTGCGATAAAACCTTCACCAAGGCAGATTCTGTCATAAATCCTCATTCGCGATGGAACCATCCCTGGGCTGGCTTGACACTTTAACGAGATCATCAATTCCAGAGCAGCCCAAGTGCATTTGGGCCTAGGGGAAAGGGGGGGGGGATTCTAGGGGAGGGCAGATGCAACATTCGGAAGGATAAGGAAAGGGTGCAGAAGTCAAGCTTTCTGCAGCTTAACAAAAACTAGTTGCACTAGCTTGCAAAGGAAGCTTAAAAAAGGCACGGCATAGTTTTGGAGGAGAAGGATTATCAAGGGCAGCTCCTGAAGTAGATGGTTCTGGTCCTTTGCAAAGCTTTCCACTCAATGTGGTCAGAAAGGCACTCTTTCCCTGCATTGCAGGGGGTTGGACTAGATGACCCTCAGGGTCTCTTCCAACTCCACAATTCTGTGATTTCCACTCAGTTCCAACTTCACTACTCCAGAATAAATCTCTCTATGTATAAATGCGCTCCCTCCTCAGGTTCTTCCATGTTCTTTTTTTCTTAGTGGAAAGCTGAATTTGCACCCATCAATCTGGATCACAAAGAAGCCAGGTTAAAGGAAACTGGCAGATGATGAAAACAACGAGGCACTTGAGGAGAAGGGTGCACCATGAGTGGAACTGTGCAAGAGGAAAGGAAAGCGGAAGGGAAATGCTCCAACATGGAAGAGAAATAACAGGATAATAACAGGCCTAAGGAGACCAGGTCAGGAACATTTGTGATCAGATCCCCTGTTTAAAGAGAGCAAGACTGACTGGACCACACATGCAGCACTGGGGGAGGGGTTAGTCTGTCTTTAGCACTGTTTTCCTGATGAAAACCATGAAGTTGCTATTTTGCCCCACTAGAGGAAATGTACACGTGCAGCCTGTGTCAGAGTCTTCTGCTACACCTTCAGCCATTTGGAAATATTTTCCTCCAAATGGAGTACAGCTCTTTCCCCTTTGATGCCCAATATGCCTTGAACTGCCTCCCGAGACACCTGCAAGACGCTGTCTCTCTCACTTCTTCCAAATCACACCTTTCCTGTTTAAACTTCCAGCCCAACCCTCTGGCCTCAATATCCTACTGTAACCAAGCCTAAGTATGTGGAATAACATGCATGCCCCCCCCCCTCTTGCCACTGTCTCTATTTCCCTTCCTTGTGCATAATCTTAGATTGCAAGCCCCTGGTGCGGGGACCTGTCCTCTTATACTCTGGCCAGGCACAAGCACATTTGCACATACATGTAAGCTCTCTTCAGGTATTCCAAATAACAAGTTAAGGCTCAAATTGTATAGGAGGTTATAGGGCCATGTGCCAGTCCCTACCCCAGTGATTCTGAAACTTTGGTCCCCAGCTGTTGTTGGACTACAACTCCCATCATCACTAGCTAGCAGGACCAGTGTTCAGAGATGATGAGAGTTGCAGTCCACCAACAGCTGGGAACCCAAGTTTGAGAAACACTGCCTCTCCTGATGTTCACACGTGGATGCTGTTAGAATCCTCCCTTTGATTTGGAACCCTGATTTTGGAGTGTTCCCAGTAACATGGAGCATTCTAGCCATGTCCGTCTGAACACATTTAGACTCCCACCTTCAGAATTTTGTGCTGAGTGTGCCAAGGTCAGAAGTGGAACTGGAGCATGCTATGGGTGGGACTTGTGTGCGCACCCATTTTAAGCTGACGCATGGCCCTTTGAACACCTGGACAGGGCTATACACCTACAAGTAAATGAATGGAAGTTACTGGTGACCAAAGATGTTTTCAAGTTGATATTGTAACTCTGTACGAGTGCTTATTTCAACACCGCCACATATATAAGAGTAGGTTCTTTGCCGGGGGACATCCAAAAGGACCACTGATGTTGTGGACAGACCATGTTAAACTCTTCCTGAATGGAACTCGTGTTCAAACAAAATTGAACTGCATTATGCAACATATTGGATACACACGTGACAATGCAAACGAGCAAGCTTCCTGGTATCTACTGCCCGGCCATCCAAGCCTAGTATTACCCTAGAACTAATATTTACAAACACTACTGTTTTATGTTAACATAGGCAGAGCTGTTATGGGGATTTAATGGGTCCTTCCTCCCCCTCCTCCCAGCCAGGCTAATGGAAAACGAAGAAAAGCACTTCACTCTCCCTCAGACAGAGCCTTTCAGGCAGTTTTTTTAAAAAAGGGGGTAAAAAAGAGAGAAAGAAAAATCCTTTTTGATCTCAGCAGCCCTTTTGTTTAGTCCCATGCCAGGATTTAATTGAGAAGGGATGTCCTTGAATAAATGTAGAAATGTTCTCACTCCCTGGGAAGTCAGCTTCCAATTGTACAAAAAAATAAAGGGGCCGTGCAGGGGAGGGGGGAGGAAATCCACCACAGCACAAGGTGTGCATTCTCTCACTCAGTTGATTTTTGTTCCCCCTCAACGCCTTGTGGCCACTGTGAAGCAGCTCAAGGCTGACTGACATGCCAAGGAAACCGTTCTAGCCGCAGGTACAAACAGGCCAGGGCAACTATAACTATAGAGTCTCAACATAGCCAGGGGGTGCCAGTTTTAAGAGGTGAAGAGGAAGAGATGAGATAGCATGCATATATTCTGGTGACAGGGGCCGTCAAGATACCAGCATCTGGAGTGAGGGGCAGGGTTTTGCATCTCAATTGTGTCTCCTGTTAAAGCTCCGGACTAGTCCTATTCACTCACTCTCCTCTACCACCTGCCCCCAAATTAGGGGCAAGAGTAGGGATAAACCCTTGGTCCCATTCCCTCCTGCATGTCGTGTGGGAGGAAGGTCCCATTCCCTCCTGCGTGTCGTGTGGTCAACAGGCTCATAATTGTGGAGAATGAAATAATTTGGCGAAATTCCTTATGTAAAGGGAATTGTTCCTACTGCCTTCTATGGGGGAAAGCAAAAGGCTAAATCAGGAGGTCTTAGTATCACTGGACGGGGGCAAAAATGTCAGTGGAATGGGACACAGTGAATTAGGTGGAAGAAGAGAAGTTGGTGCCAGAGGCAAGCAGCACAGCATCTCCCAAGTCACCCAAGAACCTTCTGACCCCATCATTCAGGAACAGAAGTTTCAGTAACTGATGAGCAAGTTAAGCCCATTTAGGGCATTACAGTAAACCTGACTTCTCAGAAGCTTGGCAGTAGCTTGGTGAACAGATTTTAATGGGGATTGGATGGGAGGAAGGGAAGGCCGGAACAAATCCATGCATGTCAAGCTGAAACGGCTGCCTGGCAAATCCAAGTGCCCCTTCCCAAGCTTCTACCACATCCACAGCCCTGTTCCCTTACCTCTCCCAAGGACAAGCAGTATGTCTGTATAGTCCTATCCTCCACATCCCCCTAAAAGCTTATCTGCACTAACAGGCAAGGAGATGGATGCCTCCTGCATCCATGCCTCCTTTTTAATACTTGGTGGCTAATGTGCACGTCTCCCCTCCTACTAGATAGGCTAGTTTTCTAGAAGCCATAAAACTTGAATTCAATCGGCCCTTAGAGGGAGAAGAAACAGTCACCTGGTTATCACCCTACAGTCAGGAGCATCAATCACCGGGAAAAAGTAGAGAGAAAATGACTCCAGAAATGAAGGTTTCACATTTGCAGGCTGCTGAGCTGTAAGTTAAGTTTTCTTTTTTAATCTTCTCCCTTCTCCTGTGCCCATGTTCGCTCCCCATTAATGAAATCCCTCCTCTACTCTGTATTTATAGAAGCAGCTTCCCATGCATTGCTTGCACTATTGAAAAACACACATGGTTCCTAGCTGGATGCACTTTGCTTGTATACAGATACAGCGTGCAAATACACACCCTGACCTACTCCCATCATTTATTTGCTGCTTGAATATGGACAAATTAGCCTTGCTCAGCATGGGGAGGCACTTAAAAACCAGACTTGCTACCATAAAGCCGGGCTACAATTATGTGTTCCAAGGTGCAGCTCCACACGTTCATAACTTCAGAGTTACTCAAGATGTCCCACATGCCCACTTCTAATCTACTGGATGAATGGTATTGTGCTGCATATGATCTGATAGCTCATGCTTTGATAAAACTGCAACTTCGCTAGCCAACTCTGCGTGCAAGATGTACAAGATCAACACCCTAAGTGATCCATCAGGCTTTCGCATTTGCTGCCGACAGGACAGTTTCGATCACAATCAACTCGAGAAAACCAGTACAGAAGATTCTGACATGCAAACCAGCCACCAGAACAAAAGCAACGATTTGTTCAAACATGGAACTAAGATAAGGCGATTACTTCTCTAGGCAGCATGACAGGAGCTGGAATTTTGAGATGGTGGATCATGAGAACTCAGGGTGGCTTAGAGAGAATGCCTTTCTGAGTTTCTGATCATGTTACCAGGTGATGTGTGTGTTGGTGCAGTCATCCATTATGTCAACACCGAAAATGGACAAAAGGACTGGAACAGGACCTTTACACAGACAACATCTGAATGGCACCACCCTTGCTTAAATTGAAGTTCTATTTATACTATCAGCATCTTAAAAAGCAGAGACATCACCTTACCAACAAAGGTCCGTATAGTTAAAGCCATGGTTTTCCCAGTAGTGATGTATGGAAGTGAGAGCTGCACCATAAAGAAGGCTGATCGCCGAAGAATTGATGCTTTTGAATTATGGTGCTGGAGGAGACTCTTGAGAGTCCCATGGACTGCAAGAAGATCAAACATATCCCTTCTTAAGGAAATCAGCCCTGAGTGCTCACTGGAAGGACAGATCGTGAAGCTGAGGCTCCAATACTTTGGCCACCTCATGAGAAGAGAAGACTCCCTGGAAAAGACCCTGATGTTGGGAAAGATTGAGGGCACAAGAAGAAGGGGACGACAGAGGACAAGATGGTTGGACAGCGTTCTCGAAGCTACAAACATGAGTTTGACCAAACTGAGGAAGGCGGTGAAAGACAGGAGTGCCTGGCGTGCTCTGGTCCATGGGGTCACGAAGGGTCGGACACGACTAAACAACTAAACAACAACAGCAATTTATACTATGCTAGATGCAACAGGTGGCTACAGGGAAAAGGGCTTTTTTGTGGTGGTATTCCGACTGTCTTCTCCACTGGGAGGTTTGCCTACCTCGATGTCATCTCACCATGTTTACATTTCAGCAACTTCTTCTTTTATGCTGAATTTATATTGTGGTGTTTTAATGTTCTGGACGAGGTGTATTGTTCATTTTTGGGGGGCTTTTTGGTAAGCTGCTTTGGGAACCCTTTAAAAAAATGCCTATTTAGAAGTGTGCCCTCTTGAGTTCAGTGGAGCTAACTCCCAGGTAAATGTGTACAGAACTGCAGCCCCAACCCTTCTACTATACCAGCTCAGAAAGTAAAGTAATCGTTTTGGCAAATTTCCATTCTCACAGTGGTGGTCTGCCACTATGTTTGCAGACTTGAATTACCGCAAAAGGCTTATATTACATATTGTCAGACAGCCTCACTATGTTTTCTTTTAACTTGGGCATACATGTTCATTGGAGAAGCTCAAGACTGGAGATGAGAGTTCACTTAACTTAATATGCATTTATTGAAATTGGGCTTAGCATACTTTTCTATTAACTGTTCAGGACTGGTGGGTTAGTTATCAAGTACAGTGATACCTCGGGTTACATACGCTTCAGGTTACAGACTCCGCTAACCCAGAAATAGTACCTCGGGTTAAGTACTTTGCTTCAGGATGAGAACAGAAATTGTGCTCTGGCGGCGCAGCAGCAGGCCCCATTAGCTAAAGTGATGCTTCAGGTTAAGAACAGTTTCAGGTTAAGAACGGACCTCCGGAACAAATTAAGTACTTAACCTGAGGTACCACTGTATCTGAAGGGAAAAGGGCATCAAAAGATTTTCAGAACTCCTGGATTCCTTCAGGCATAGGATCAGCAAACCTTAAGTGTCAGAAAGCTTGCTTTCAATTGCATCATGGGACTGAAGGGTTTCCTAATTCATGTGCATGTGTTAATGCACAGTTCAGGCACTGCCCTAGTTTCTTCAGCAGCTTGTATAGGGGAAAGTCTGCCATTGCAACCATACAGACTTGCCCCATTCCTTTGAGGGGATAGTGCCAAGATGCTGTTTCTGCAGGCACAACCTTAATGAGTAGTGGAAGCATTAAAGGTAAAGGGACCCCGACCATTAGGTCCAGTCGTGGCCGACTCCGGGGTTGCGGCGCTCATCTCGCTTTATTGGCCGAGGGAACCGGCGTACAGCCTCCGGGTCATGTGGCCAGCATGACTAAGCCGCTTCTGGCGAACCAGAGCAGCGCATGGAAACGCCGTTTACCTTCCCGCCGGAGCGGTACCTATTTATCGACTTGCACTTTGACGTGCTTTCAAACTGCTATGTTGGCAGGAGCAGGGACCGAGCAACGGGAGCTCACCCCGCCGACCTTCTGATCGGCAAGTCCTAGGCTCTGTGGTTTAACCCACAGCGCCA